TTTCTTGAGTTCTTTGTACATTTTGGAGATCAGCCCTCTGTCAGATGTGGGGTTGGTGAACATCTTTTCCCACTTTGTAGGGAGCCGTTTTGTCTTGTTGACCATGTACTTTGCTTCACAGAAGTTTCTCAGTTTCAGGAGGTTCCACTTATTAATCATAACTCTCAGTGTCTGTACTACTGGTGTTTTATTTAGGAAGTGGTCTCTTGTGCCTATGCATTTCATTGTATTTCCCACTTTCTCTTCTATGAGGTTCAGTGTGGATGGATTTATATTGAGGTCTTTGATCCATTTGGACTTGAGTTTTGTGCATGGCAATAGATATGGATATATTTGCATTCTTTTACATGTTGAGAGACATTTGTTGAATATGTTTTCTTTTCTCCATTTTATATTTTTAGCTTCTTTGTTAAGAATTAGGTGTTCATAGGTGTGTGTGTGTGTGTTGATATCAGGGGGTCTTCAATTCAACTCCATTGGTTCACCTGTCTCTTTTTATGCCAATACCAAAATGTTTTCATTAATATAGTTCTATAGTAGAGCTTGAAGTCAGGGATGGTGTTGCCCCCAAATGATCCTTTTTTGTACAGGATTGTTATGGCTATCCTGTTTTTTTATATGAAGTTGAATATTGTTGAGATATGGGTTTTTAAATGAAACATCTCAATGCTGTACATAGGATACCATCTTACAAATTATTAGTCAGGGAGGCCCAGAGCCCACCAAACAACACAGACTATTGCTTTTGTTTGCCCACCAGAACTATGTGGTAAGAGTCTATTGTTGAAGACTCAATATGTTTGGTTGCAGAAATCAAGTTGGAACTGATATGAAAATTTCCTCTTTTTTGATTAACTTTCATAGTACCCAAATGTGCACTTACTGGGGAATAAAAGTCATCATTACTTTTACCTAGTGTTGAACCATGCAACCTACAACACCAACTTTGGTATAATAGTGCCATAAAAGTTAGGGGTAACCACAAACTGCTTTCGTATTAGATTTGAGACCTGCTCCACAGGAGGAATTCATACCAAGTACAGTAAACTTGGTCAAAAGTTCATGACCAGAGAGGTCATAGGTCCTAGGGCAGAACCTACTACTGTTTCTTTAACATATGGAAAGGGCATCAAATTAACCTCTAAATATTTGTGTCCATAGCCATGTTTCTGCTGATTTCAGCCTTGTCCAGAAAAGATCTTTCTGCAGTGGATGGCAGTTAATGCACAGACTCATAACTGATCAAAGATCTGTGTACAAATGACTGTTGAGAGCTTAGCTCTAAGTGGGACAGCTGTATCAACTTGTCTAGGCTCAGGGAACATTTCAGAAGAGGGAGTAGAAAGACTTCAAGAGCCAGAGTGCTATGAAAAGCTGGCCTCCCAACCTGAGATGGATGTTGCACTCATGAGTTCACAGCAGCGGTGGTTACCTGCTCAAGATTAAACCAATAGAACCAGTCAGCATTCAAGCAAATAGGATTAGTTAGACTCAGTGGGTTAAAAATAAAATAGAGAAAAAAAGAGGGGATGAAGGGAGGGGGGATGTGTAGGCTGTGTATAGGGGTATTTGGAGGAGGTTGGTAGGTAGATATGACCAAGATAAATATTTTGGTTGTGAGTCTAGTCTTTAGTGGCTGAGTCACCGCCACAGCCTAAAGAAGATTTACTGTATACACATATGAAATTGTTGAAAAATTAGTAAAAGATGTTTTTTTTTAAAAAGAAAGGTTTGACCTGGTTGAATGTGGTTTCTTAACCATCACAACGAGACTGACTGAGGAATATGGAAGGAGTTTAATTGTATTGTTAGTAAACAGAGCTATCAAAGGCAGATATGACCTACTGATATTATTCTAGAAGATTTCCCAGCACAGTTGTATTCATGTGTGCTCTAAAGGTCAAGAGAGAAAAATAAGTTGCTATTCAAATGACATTCGGGGAACTTAAATGATCTCAGTGTATTTGCTCAATTATCTTACTTTTGCAGAAACATCCTGTATTAGTTATCTTTCTCATTGCTGTTACAAAATACCTGACTAAAGAACTTGGGAAGGAAGGGATCATTTGGAAGTTATGGCTATCAGGAGCACAGGGCAGCTGGTTGTATTGCAGCTGTAGTCGGAAAGCAGGGATAAGTACTGGTGTTTACACCCCACCCCTGCCACACACGCACACTCCAAGACTCTAGCCCAAGATTGGTACCACTCATATTTAAGGTCTCCCCTGCTCCTAAAGCTTTCTGGAAACACTGTCACAGACACACCCAGAGATGTGACCGTTGATAAATCCAGTGAGGATGACAATGAAAATGCATACTCCATACCTCACACATCTTTTGGAGAAAGCATTTCTTTTTTTTTTTTTTTTTTGGTTTTTTTCGAGACAGGGTTTCTCTGTGGCTTTGGAGGCTGTCCTGGAACTCACTTTGTAGACCAGGCTGGCCTCGAACTCATAGAGATCCGCCTGCCTCTGCCTCCCGAGTGCTGGGATTAAAGGCGTGCGCCACCAACGCCCGGCTGGAGAAAGCATTTCTAATACACTGAAGCATCTATGGTACAAAGTGGGGTATGAGTTAGAGTTTGGTGTGGAATAGGCCACAGGGCATTGGTGTGTGTATATCTTATGTCTGTGCTGGTGAACAGTGATCCGAGGAGTGGGAAGGGAGACAGGTAGGTGTCTAGAATTGGATGTCATAATTATGTTAGGGAACAATCCAGATTTTTTTTTCTGGGACCTAGGGACTTCTTAGACGTAAGACTTTCAATACTAGAACCAGGAGATTCTAATAATGATGTTCCTAGGTTACCATGACTAACTTTGTGTGAATGGACCAGTGACTCTGTCTTTCTTATCTTTGATAACGTTTCCCCCTTAAAGGCTACAACTGATAAGCAGTTAGAGATGACTTCATGCGAATATCAATATGGTGGCCAGTAATAAAAATATGCATGTATGAAAACCCTGTTCCTACCCCACTGACACATACATTGATTCCTAAAGTACACCTTCTACTAATGCCAATCCCTTCTTTCAAACCACCACATTCCACTCCCTGGCCCTCAAAGGCATATAGCCATACCATAATGCAAACAAAAAAATGCATCCTGTCCAACTACAAAAATCCCCAACAGTTTCAAACTTGTTTTAAAGTCAAAAGTCCAAAGTCTCTTCTGAGACACATGACAATCTCTTAACTGTAATCCCCTTGTAAAAAAATCAAAATAAAAAAGCAGGTCAGATACTTCCAATATATAATGGTACAGGATATACATTGCCATTCCAAAACACAGGGAATGGAGCATAGTGAGGAAATACTGGACCAAAGCAAGACCAAAAAACCAGCTGGGTGAACTCCAAACTCTGTGTCTTCATGTCAAAGCGCTCTTCAGATCTCCAACTCTGTTCATCTTTGTTGACTGCAACACACTTCTTTCCCTTGGGCTGGTTCCACTCTCTGTTAGCAGCTCTCTTTGGTGGATATTCCATGACTCTGGCATCTCCAACATCTTGGGTTTTCCAGGCTTCAATTTCACAGCCATGCAATGGCCGCCATCCTTGGCCTCAGCTTCTTTGTTTAGGTTTGGAGGCAAATTCCATAACCTGTTTCTTCCATATTTAACTCCAAAGCAAGAACCACGTGGATGAAGCTGCCAAGTTCTGCTGCTTGCTGGGACTGGAACATGGCCCCTCATTCAATTACACCTTCACTGGCTTTCCGTCCTTTACTGCCTAAGGTTGGCTGTCCTGATTGCTCTATAGACCAGGCTGTCCTCAGACCCAAAGATCTGCCAGCCTCTGCCTTCCAGGGCTGGGATAAAATGTGCGCCCCAATGTACCTGGCTCTAATCTTTTCTTTAGTTTCTTTCCACAAGATGGAAAATTATTGCCCTTAGGTCTCTACTCCTTTTATTCCATTTCTTAATCCATGTATCTCCTTGAACAAAGGATTTAGCTCTATTCCACTTCCTAGTGCCCCTTTTCCCCTCAAAATTTATATTTTGTAATTTACTCTGCTTATTTAAATCTTCACTAGAGCTATCACTAAAATCTACATGACAGAGTCTATACTAGGCTGTTTTGAGATTTCCTCTGCCAATGAAATTAATCCAAAACTCATCACTTTAACCTTAGGCAGACTCTTTGGACAAGGGCAAAAGCCAGGCACTTTCTTCACCAAAATATCACAAGAATGATTTCTAGGCACCATACTAAAATTTTTCTACTCTAAACCTCTTGAGTAAACATCTCACAATTCATCAAATCACACTCAGCACAACTGTCTTCCATGTTCCTACTAGTATACCCCATTAAACAGCACTTAAAACATTCCACTATTCTCATAACCAAAAGAACAAACTCCAAATTCCTCCAAACAAAAGCATGGTCAGGTCTATTGCAATAATACCCCAATCCCTGGTACCAACCTCTGTCTTAGTTAGGCTTTTCATTGCTGTGAAGAGACACCATGACCACAGTTACACTTATAAAGAAAGCATTCAATTGGGGTGGCTCACTTTACAGTTCAGAGGTTCAGTCCATTTGATCATCATGGTAGGACATGGTGGTGTGCAGGCAGATGTGGCATTGGAGTTGAGAGTGCTACATCTTGCAGGCAACAAGAAGTTGACGGAGTCGCTGAGGGAAGCTTGAGCAAAAGAGACCTCAAATCCTGTTCCCACCGGGACACAGTTTCTCCAACAAGCCACACCTCCTAATAGTGTCACTCACTTTGGGGGTCATTTTCTTTCAGACCACCAAAGGCTGCATGGAGGCCTAGAGAGGCCATTACATGAAACTGTGAAAGTGAAGCCTGAATTGCCTCGGAGAACTCAAGATGTTAGAGACGCCAGAGCTGTGGAGAACCCGCCAAGCAAAGCTGCTAACAAGGAGCAATGAGGTGCTGGTGCATGCCTTTAATCCCATCCCTTGTGAGGCAGAGGCAGGAGGATCTCTGTGAGTCTGAGGCCAGCCTGGTCTACAAAGCAACAGTCCAGATTAGCCAGAACTGTTGCACAGAGAAACTCTGTCTCAGAAAACCTAAAAAAGGAAACAAAAAAGAGGGAAAAGTATAAGAAAAAGAGAGAAAGAAAAATAAAAGACTGCGTGAGTTTCAGAGAGACTTTGAAATTCAACTTTTAAATACACTTGAGACTGTTAAAGACTATGGGGACTTTTGAAGTTAGATTTAATGTATTTTTGCCTTATGATTTGGCTACAAGCCTTTGGGGGCCAGGGAGTGGAGTATGGTCGTTTGAAACCCAAAGGGATTGGCACTACTAGGAGGTGTGGCTTTGTTAGAATAGTTATGTATGGCCTTATTAGAGGAAATGTGTCACTGTAGTAGTGGACTTTGAGGTCTCCTATATCTGTGCCTGGGGACACAGTTTACTCCCTGTTACCTGCAAGATCAAGATGTAGAATTCTCTGATCCTTTTCCAAGATCATGTCTGCCTGCACACTGCCATTTCCCACCTTGATGATAAGAGACTAAACTGTTGAACTGTAAGCCACACCCGTGAAATGTTTTCTGTTATGAGTTTCTGTGGTCATGGCGTCTCTTCACAGCGATAGAAACCTGAGCTCCATCTGAAAGATGAATGTGGTAAATGTTGAAATGAAGGCATTACCAGTTCTGCAGCAGTTCAGAGGTGCTAGGTATTTTTTTTGTTTGTTTCTTTAGTTCCTTAATAGGAAGCAGTTAAAATGAGTCTTAGGAAGTAGGCATTGATAGGCAGGGCCTGTAGGAGACAGAGTCCCGGGCATGCGAGTTGCTGAAGACATAGCCCATGCTCTCAGATCATGTAAATTCTCAGTGTGAGACTGTGGTAGTTTCAATGAAAGAAGCCCCCGTAGGTTCATAGGGAGTGGTTCTGTTAGGAGGTGTGGCTGTGATGGAGCACGTGTGGCCTTGTCAGAAGTGATGCCACTGTGGGTGGGTTTAGAGGTTTCAGAAGCTCAAGCCAGGCCCAGTGTCGCTTTAACCTCATGCTGCCTACTGATTCAGACGTAGAATGCTTGTCTCCTTCTCCACACCACGTCTGCAGCCATGCTGCCCTGCTTCCTGCCATGACGATAATGGACTACACCTCTGAACTGTAAGGCAGCCCCAATGAAATGTTTTCCTTTCTAAGAGTTGCTTTATTTTGACTCTTTATCAAAGGGTTAATTCGCTCTTGGCCTCATGTACTTCAGACATGCATTATGGCAGGGGAGTGTGTGGCATCATGGGACGTTTCCTTTGCATGGCAAAATTCTAGTAAGTAGATCAAGACAGACATGAGGGGCTACATACAATCGTCAAAGTCACATCCACAGTGACTTCCTTCCTTCCCAGGTTTCCACTGTCTGTTAGGGAATCATCCGGGGGTTATCAACACAACATGGTTTTAGCCAGTGTAGGCAAACATTTGGGATACTGACTTTGGCTGAGCAGAAGGTTGGAGGCAGGAGTCAGTGCTGCCACATTTCTGATCCCAGGAGGAACCTGGGACACGGCGTGTGTGTCTGGGGGTGTGGGAACAGCGGGGCTGAGAGGGCCGACTAGATGACTGAGCTCTGGAGCCCAGATGTGAGCTTGCTTCAAAACATACAGGGCTAGTTGGGAAGTCAGGCAGCATCTTGGGTGCCTGGGATGACTCACTAAAAGAACTGATTCATGGTGTCTTCCATCAGAATGTGTTAGACTAAGGTGGACCATCCCTGAGAGTGCTTTACCAATCCCAGGTGAGTGCTTGCATGTGGTGGGGGCTGACGGAGAGGCAGGAGATCTGGAAGACATAGGGAGACAGGCTCTGACAACCAGGTTTGGTGACAAATTGAGCAAAGTGGATGAAAGAAGAGGCAATTTACTTATCTTTAAAGTGAGAGTTTTGCACACAGCATTCCTTTCCCTTCTGGAAATTCATAACTTCCAGGTTTCTCAAGACTTAGCAGCTGGAAAAATGCCAGTACCTTCCTTCTTTCCCCTTTCACAACCCGTTCCAGATAGGGTGGGAGCAAGAATGGAGACTGGTCTCTGGAAGACATTTTACTTCGGTGGGGAGGGTGGGTGCTTGGACAGGTCACTACATGCTCGTGTGGCAGTGGGCACTACTGTAGAGTTAAGAGAAGGCTGAAGAAATCTACCTTTGCCTGGAAAAGTGGCAACAAGTCTGTTAACATCAGTCACAACAGCAATGGATGCTGGGGAGAAGGTCTGAAGAAGAAATGGGTGCTGAGGGGAAGGACTGAGGAAGAAATGGGGGTTTAGGGAGAAGGACTGTATGTGGGAGAGTTGCGTGAGACCCACCAGGACTAGAGTGACTGGAAGTCAGGTAGGCTGGGGGTGAGGGGCAGGGAGAAAGGGAACGTGGTGGAGATGGCGTGATATAGGAGGACCTCTTTCTTGTGGAGGAAATGGGGATAGGATATAGCTCCTAATATAAGATACTAGGTGATGTTTAAAGAGTGTAGTGAATGATCTGGTTTGTGCTTAGGTTGATGTCCCTGGAGGGGCAGTGACCACGATGAGCCCCAGAGGCCCTGGGCAGGAATTGGTGGGACTCCTACGTTTGAGGTAAGAGATGTTGATAAATAGGTTCCTAGGAGGTGTGGGTGAAAGTTGAGCCCAAATTTGAAAGCAGTGGGTTTTAGGAGCCAGCAGAACACTAGTTTATGGAGTATTATTTCACTTTGCTAGGCACCAGGGCTAAGACGTTAAGCAGGACACTTCAGAGACCTCTTCTAGCTCATCTGAAATTTGCTGATGGATGGACAGGGGATGAAGGAGTGGGGTGGACAGGAAGGGATGGGGTAATGGGGCAGATGAATCTTTGCTCTGCTGATGTCCTCTTTTGCTGAGTGATGATGGTGAGTCCATTTCATGTAAGATTTTCAGCTTAAACAGCAGTGTGCTTCTTACAAAGAAAGTAAGAATAGCATGGACGGCCATCCGAGTGGGTCACTGAGAGCCCAGCTTGCTTACTTCTTCCTATTCAGTCGCTTTAGCCACTTAAACAATCTCTTTAAGCAGGCAAGGTGGCTGCTACGGTTCCAGGCACCACATGCAAAAAGCTAGTGAACTCTTTCCTCCTTCCGATTTTTAAGTGAGCGATGAATCCTGTCCCAGAACCTCCATCAGACTGATGGGGTCTTGGTGGAAGGAAATGGGTTGGAGATTCACCACTGAACTAGTCACCATCAATGGAAATAGGGAGACAGGAAATACCTGAAGCAAAATTGCACATACCTGAAGAAAATGAAATAGCCCGTGGAGAGGTAAATGTTCCTTGGGTTTAAAGTTCCTGGTTCAGGAAAATAATTTCTTAGTATTTGGAGATGTATCTTTGTGCTTCTGATCAGCAGTTAGGACTGGAGAAATTGATTTGAAAGATACCAGAAAAGAGAAGTAGTTCCTCTCTTCCTCCTTGTCCTCTTCTAAACTGACTGTGGTGGTTTGAATAACAAATGTCCCCCTAGTCTCAGCCATTTGAATACTTGGTCCTAGTTGGTGGCACTGTTTGGGCACGTTTAGGGGGTGCGGCTTTGTTGGAGGAAGTTGTGTCACTAGTGGTAGGCTCTGAGGTTTCAAAGTCTCACACACCGTTCTTGGTGCACTCTCTTGCTTCTTGCTTGAGTTCAAGTGTGAGTCCTGAGTTCCTACCCCAGCTGCCTGCCGCCTGCCGCCTGCCGCCTGCCGCCTGCTGCCCTGCCTGCCGCCCGTGTGCCACCTGCTGCACTTTCCTGCCATGATGGACTCATTTCAATTTATCACAGCAATAGAAAGTTGTGAGGGTGGAGAGGTGGCCCAGTCATTAGGGGCACTTGCTGTTTATGCAGGGAGCCTGAGTTTGGTTCCCAGTGCCCCTGCTAGGCAGCTCACGACAGCCTGAACTCAGTCTCCAATGGATCCAACGCCCTCTTCTGGCCTTCACGCACACACACATACACAGATACATAACTCACGCACGCGCACACACACATACAGACACATAACTCACACATGCACACACACAGAGACACATGCATACACAAAAACAAATGGTGAACCTTAAAGAGTAACCGATACACTGGCCCTTTGTTTTGTGCTTCATGGATCTTCATTTGTGTTCTCATCAGGACGCTAACAGGCAGTAGATATTGTTCAGGAAAAGAGTTCAGAGGTGTTGAGGAGCTAGGACAGACGATGCAGTGAGGCTGTGGAGAGTGGCATTCCATATCCTGTGCTACCTCTGCGTTTGGAGGATTTGGAACGTTATGCACAGGAGCAGACAGAATGGCCTGATGTGCACACCATCTGCCTTCACTCAGCAGCAAGCAGCAAAAGCCCTGCCAGTTTTACACTCCAGGCCCTGTGTTACTATGAAGTGCGTTCCCCACAACTGCATCATTCCCACAACAAACATGTTTGTGCGAATCCCTATGAAGACTATATAGTCTATTCCTTTGCATGCTAAGAAGAACGTTCACAAAAATATGTCTGCAAAAAAGATAAGGTCTGTTTCATTTTAAAGATAACTTACAATGACATTGTGCTTAAAACAATTAACAATACTGTTGATAGTTTTGAATGTTCAGGTAGTACTTAATTTTATAATTATCTCATCCATATCTTACTTTTAACAGTTTATTAAATTAAAGTCCACAAACGCTCCACACATTGCAATTGGTTGTTATGATTTAATTCTCGCTGAATCTGAATCTGTAGGCTTTCTTCATTTCTTTCTTTCTTTTTTTTTTTGTCTTCACAGTTAACCATTTGTAGAAATTCAGTTATTTGACCAATAAGCATTTCTAGTCTGGCATCAGCCGGTTGCATCTCAATGGTGTAGTCGGAAGTGCCCCTCTGTCTTCCACAACTCCCATGAGGTGTAGTTGGAGTTGGAGGGCGGGTCAAAGATCACGTGATCTCTTGCTATGGTTTCCTTGGTGGAGGAGGAGGGAGGCGGTTCTGCCACTGTGGGCTTCTCTTTCTCTTATCATGTCTTTGTCTTGAAGATCAAAGTCTGGATCCTTTAATTTCCTGGTGTCGCACAATGGCTGTTTTTAGATTACAGTGCTTCCCTTTCCAAGGATTTGCTGGAAGAGCTGACATTTAAATAATCATCTTACTCAAGAAGGTGTCACCACCAGAGATGAGGAGTGGCCCACTGGGGGAGAAGAACAGAGGCTGTCAGGGTCACTTGAAGCCACACAGTAACTAGTCACAACACACATGTTGGATGGAGATGAGCTTGTGGACGATCTTAACTTTTCACAGTTTGGCCAGCAAACAGACTGATGGGAACATCTACACATGCAAGATCCTGGAGTCTTCAAGTGAGAGTGCCCACGGCAATGTTTTTTGTCTTTCCTGGGGTATGATAGGAGAAACAGGAGGTGTGCATGGGAAGGAAGGTTTGAGTCAGTGAGTGTGTAGCTTAGGTTTTTGTTAGCTTGACACAAGGAACTTCAGGTGAGAAAATGCCTCCATCTTATTGACCTTTAGGCAATTTGTGGGGCATTTCTTTTTGGATTGGCGACTGATGTGGAAGCACTGAGCTCACTGTTGATGGCATCACCATTTGAAAGGGGATCTTGGGTGCTGTAAGAAAGCAAACTGAGTAGGCCATAGGGAGCCAGTCAGCAAGCCATCTTTTCCCATGGCTTTTGCTTCAGTTCCTGCCCTGACTTCTCTGTGTGCTAGACTGTAAGCTGCAAGTTGAAATAAAACCTTTTTCTCTGACTTGCTTGTGGTCATGGTGTTTATTATAGCAATAGAAACCTAACTCGGACAGTGAGCATCTCCATGGAGTCTTGGCAATTCATTTAACAGCAGCATGAACGCAAACACTCTGGAATTGTGGGCTTAGGAAGGAAATGGGCACCTCATAAGCCAAGGAGGACTGGGGTCCGTGAAACAGGAACCCACAAAGAAAATTTAAGTAGACATAACTGGAGCCCACTCTTGCTTCATTTTCTTCAGGGTTAAAGCAGAGGCTTCCCAAGGGGCAGGGCTGGGTGTTGGCAGGGGAGGGGTAGGCTTTGATGCATGACCTGAGGCTCTTCACACGGTTTGGGAGAACTCATGGTGGGGTGGGTGTGGCTAGGAGCCGGGAAAGTCTGGAGGTGACATCAGAGGGAACAGTGAAACATGACTGTGAACTGCAGGTCTGTGAAAGAGGGAAGATGTTCTCTTCCAGTGCGTACAACGTTGAGAGTCTTGACTGATTCTTCCTTGTATTAACTGTCAGTCTTTACCGTTCATGGTTGTTATGTTCCTGTTTAGCCCCTGAGAATGCTGAAGTAGTGAACACAGAGCCATGTGCTCTATGGGAGACACAACGGTCGATTCCTGTGGTCCTCTGGTCAACTGATGGATCCATAGCCTTACGTTTATTGATTGACTGATCAATTCTGTGTGTGTGTGTGTGTGTGTGTGTGTGTGTGTGTGTGTGTGTGTGTGTCCTATGGTGCATGTGTGGAAGTCAGAGAACACCTTGCAGGAATCAGTCTTCCACCATGTGGGTTCCAAAGATCAAACTCAGGTTGTCAGGCTTGGCAGCAGAGTCTTCTGACTGGGTCCCATGCTTTGTGTCTTTCTCTTTGAAGGCGTATTCTTTGGTAACACTGAATGTAGTTGGCCCCGTAAGCTCATAAGCAGTGGCACTATTGGGAAGAGTGGCTTTGTTGGAGTAGAGGTATGGCTTTGTTGGAGGGAGTGTGTTGCTGTGGGGGTGGGCTTGAGGTCTCCCATGCTCAGGCTATGTTCAGTGCAGAGACAGTCTGCTTCCTGCTGCCTGGGGATTTTGTTGGAGGGAGTGTGTCCCTGTGGGGGCGGGCTTGAGGTCTCCCATGCTCAGGCTATGTTCAGTGCAGAGACAGTCCGCTTCCTGCTGCCTGGGGATCAAGATGGAGGACTCTCAGCTCCCTCTCCAGCTCCATGTCCGCCTGCACGCCACGATGATAACAGACTAAATCTTTGAGACTGAAAGCCACCCCAGCGAAATGTTTTCCTTTCTAAGAGTTGCAGTGATCATGGTGTCCCTTCACAGCACCAGAAACTAAGACGGCTGCCTTTGGCTGCACGTTCAAGAGAACCACAACACCGGATGCGACTGGGTGTGCTCACCTTGAGTGGGGTACGCCATGGCTACCTGACGTGGGGCGTTAGGCGTGTGGAATTCCTGGTGTCCATTTTAATTAGCTTATTTATTTTCATCATTTATTACAATTATTTAAACTATTGCATACAAATTATGTACTAGTGGGGTAACACGTTTCATTGCACACATACTCACATTGTTAAACATATCTTTTCCATTTATTATTTCTTCATAGTGGGAGTGTTCAAAATATTTATTTTTGGCTTTTGGAAATGTACACTAAGCTACTGTTATCCATAGCCATGCTCCTGGGTAAGGACTCTTTATTTCCTCCCCAGAATATTTTCCTGTAGTCGGACTCAGTGCTTGCTGATCAACCTTGGCCCTGGGGCCATTTTATATGGTGAACTCACTAACAAAAAAAAAAGCATAAAAATGAAAAAAAAATGGTAAGAAGTAGACACCAAGGAGGACACTTGCTTATAATAATCTGGCTAACAACGTACTTCAGCGTCACCGTGTGCCAGTTCAGTGGCAAGTGTGGCTCTGCCCATGGCCGTGAGTAGCTTCAACAGAGCTGCCTGGGATTATAAATAAACGTGGGGGAGTCTATGGGTTTCTAATTATGGCCTCCACAGATGAGATTGAAACTGCAATCTGGTAATTGGCACTGGAAAGTAAACTTAGGGTTTGGCGGGGAGGTTGAAAATTGGGACAGGCTTCCTGGGTTCATAATGTGGGCTTAGCTGTGCGTATCCCACAGAAAATTTCTTCAGGGTCGAGGAGGAAGAGCTGGAAGGAAGGTCCGTGTGGGTCTCATGGGAGGAGCGGAAAAGGGAAGAGCCCCAGGAATCCCAGATCTCTGCAGCCAGGGGGAGAGGGAAAGAGTCAGGATGGGGAAGATGAAGGGAACAGGCAGCAGCGGGCGAGGCCGCAGGAGCGCAGCATGGCAGGGTGTGCAGTGACAGCGTGCTGAGTCATTTTTTTTGGCACAGGACTGCTACACTTCTCCCTTGCTCAGAGCCCTGTAGTTGTATCCAGTTTTCCTCCCTGTTGCGGTATCCCTGTGGTCTGCCCTGGAGGGGTGCTGGGCGGGAGGGGGCTCTGGTTTGGCTCTTCTGGCCACATGAGAGATGTCTTGGGCAGAAACCCCACGCCTCAGACTTCCTTGCAGATGGTTTAAGCAGGGACGCAGCACAGCTTCTTGGTCGCAGGGAGAAAATTAAAGCTAGAGATCGGATCCTTGAGAGAGCCTTTGAACTCGTAAACTCAGACACATATGTGTCAAGAATGGAAACTGGCAAGGACTGGACCCCGTAGTTTGAACTTAATTGCTTTTGGTATGCACTTGAAAAGATAAAATACCCCAAGACATTTAACTTTAGAAACTTGCTCTGTTGTACTGCACAGTAAGTAATTTTCACAAGGATTTGGCCGAGATAGATGTTCGGTATCGACATGCAGGAATGGTTTCAATATGTGGTAGGCCAAGAAAAACAAAGTCCCTGTGACCCACACTTTGCAGATCTAAGAGGGACAGAGGAGCAAGTAGCAATAATTAATTCCAGTTTTGGAGAAATACTATAACTGTACAGCCACACGCCTCTGTCCTCACACTGCTCTGTGTCTCTGGGGGAGAGGGGACTTAGAGCCCCAACCCAGGGTGTATGGTGCAGGACATAACTGTACAGTGAATTGTACAGTGTAAATGGCCAAGTGAGGATGGAGCCCTGTTTGGTTTGAAATATAGGAACTGCAGAAGGAGGCACACCATTTGGAAGGCTGCTTAGCAGTAAACGTCAGTAAGAAACAGGATGGTCAGTCTGCTGCCTGTCGGGCTGTAGACAAGTGGAGGAGGGATGCTGCCATCTAAGGCCTTTGGCCCCTGTGGTTTGAATGAGAGCTACCCCCTGTGGGATCACATACTTGAATGCGTGGGCCCCGGTTAATGGAAATGTTTGCTAAGGATCAAGAGTGTGGCCTTAACGGAGGAAGTAAGTATGTCACCAAGGTTTCAAAAAGCCCAAGCCATTAGCAGCTAGCTCCCCCTGTCTCCTATTTGTAGATAAGGATGTAAGCAAGCTCTCGGCTGCCGCTCTAGCATTGTGCCTGCCTGCCTGCTGCCACGTCCCTCATCGTAATGGTCATGGACTCATCTTTGAGACTGGAAGTCCCTGTCTCAGTTACTGTTCCATTACTGTGAAGAGACACAATGACCAAGACAGCTTGCAAAAGAAAACATTTAATTGGGGGGCGTGCTAACATTTCAGAGGGCTTGTCCATCCACGGTCTTCTGGGTGGGAAACATGGCTGCAGGCAGCTGCACATGGCCCTGGAGTAGTAGCTGAGGGCTTACATCTGATCCACAAACCCAAGGCGGAGAGATAGACTAGGAAACCTCAAACCCACACACCCAGCGACACGCCTCCTCCAACAAATAACACCTCCTAATCCTTCCTAAACAGTTCCACCAACTGGGAATGAAACATTGAAACATATACGCCTATGGGGGGCAATCTTACTCAAACCACCATAGCCCCCAACAAACTCTTTATTGTCCAAGTTGTTTTAGTCACTTGGTGTCTTATCACAGCAACAGAAAAGAAAGTGCTACCTCTCTCTAGCTTCCAGGGCAGCCAGATCCAAAGACAAGATCTGCTCGCTCCTCACCTTTGCCTCAATTGGCGTCTCCTTTCTCCTGTCTGCCCTGATGGGAAGGGCATCTGTTCTTCTATGTGCTGAAGAGCATTGAAGTCCATGCGTGCAGCTGTGAAAGGACTGAGACACAAGGATGTTGAGAAGCCACGCTAAAGTCGTGCGGAAATCACGGACACTTCCCTGTGTGAACTGATGTTGTCTTGCTCTGATGTTCCCCCATCACACAGGGAAACCCAAGAGAAGTAAGTCACACTTGCTCGTTTGATTAAGCAGGTCTGTCTTGGCTTGATGCCATTTCTTCAGTGATGTTGACCTGCTATGGGCTTAATCCTTGGCTCCTCTCTGCCCCTAACTTCTCCGTGGGGAGCCCCCCCCATGGCGGACACAGGTCGCTTTGTACTCACATTACCCTCTTCTGGCCTCTGTTGACTTCTTGTTGAGGTCCAACCCATCTTACCTCCTCTTTGGATGTTAGCTTCAGCTACCAAAGCGCCCTGGCTGGAGTGTCTTAGACTGAGCACAAGCACAGACTGCCTCCCTTCAGCATCTTCCATTCACTAAGGTAGGGCCTCTCGGGCTTAGCGGGAAGCCCTATCAGAGAACCTGCTGTAGCATCCTCCTGCTGTGTGGCAGCTGCCTCCTTATTGGACACTAATCCCCCTAGGGTCCACAGAGCTATCAGAGAGCATCTAGATGTCCCCGTGCTAGGTGTGGCCTGTGAGGAGGAAACAGGAGACTGTTAACTCTAACCTGATCACTTGAGCATCCCCTTTACAAACGATGCTCTTTCGTTACTGAACTACACGTATGTTTACGTGCACACGGGCACGGGGCAGTGACGGGAGGGAGAAGTGAAAGCTCCAGTCCAAGCAGTGTTTGGGTCTTCACTCCACCTGTTAGAAATTCTGTCATCTATCTTCCTTTTCCAGAGCCAACCTCTGGGAGGTGAACAGATGGAGAAAGTCGCCTTCCCTCATCTGTAGGGCAACAATTGCTGCATCACATTCTGTCCTCTGTTCGTCGTGGCTTACCGTGAACTTCTCCACTTGGTCCCCTGGAGCGTGACTCTTGATATGAGCAGAGGCATCTTATGAGTAGGGGCGACACAGACTTCTCTTTCAACAGAGCTCACCTCTAAGACAGTGACTTCTCAGTGGCTCGGGACATCCGCTATGAAGTGTGAGCTGTAGGAAAGGGACTTCTGAGTTCAAGGTTGTCCCTCTTTCTTTTTTTCTTAAATAAAAGGGCAAAGATTCTGTGAGTGGAAAGTGGCAGAGAGCCAGGATTTTGATAGGCAATGAAAGATTTATTATTGTAATCTTTTCTGAAACAAGGCGGAAAGAGTTGGGGACTTCTGAATTAGAAGAAGGGGATCAAATGAGGCAGCTTCCAGGAGGTACACCTCACTCAGAAGCGAACATTCTGGCTTGCCACTGGTGGCTCTCTCTGGGCTATTGGTTGTATGCTTCACCCTCACTGAGCAGGTTAGAAGACACGAGTCACAAAACCATCTGCAGGAGAAAAGACAGGCATGTCCCTTTTACCATGGCTACACAGGAACATCAGATAGCCTGTGGCCTTGTGAACACTTCCTGCTCAAGGCCTTCTATGGGGCTGCTCCATGGACTTTGGATGGTCGATCAAGCTTTCTTTGTGGAGTGTTAGGCCTGGACCATAAGCACTTCTGGCTTTCTGTGCTACAGGATGTGTATACTCAGCCCCGCCATGGGAGTAGCAAAGCAGCATAGGCAGTTGCCTAAGCCTGGCCTTTTCTTCTGTGTAACTCCAGCACCATCACCAGGCAGAGGTAACCTGGGCCCTGTCGTCATGGCAAGGACACAAGCAAAACAATATGATGATATTTTTGTCTACAATAATGGTAATGGGACCATGAACTTTTCCCCAGTAGAAGTGGGGCATGACCCAGCCAGAGAGTCTGGGAAACAGGGAGGACCCTAGGAGAGATATGAATGGTAACCCAGAGAAGGGGAACAGGACAGAATCTTCTGAGGGGATTGGGAGCACGGGGGTGGGGGGTAGGGGGTGGGGAATGAGGGGGTAGGGGGCTGTGAGGAAGCTGAGAGAAAGAGAGGGGGTGAAGAGGAGGGGAGAGGACATGGGGGAGCAGGAAAGTTGAGTCGGGAGAAGAATAGAGGAGAGAAGGTTGAGAGATACCATAATAGAAGGAGCCATTATAGGTTTGAAGAGAGAGCTGACACTAGTGATATGTCCAGAGGCCTACAAGGATGACACCACCTGGCAATCTAACCAATACTGGAGAGGCCCTTCCCTATAATGTGATTGACAACTTCCTTGTATGCCATCCTAGAGCCTTCATCCAGTGGCTGAAGGAAGCAGAGGCTGACACCCACAGCTAAACACTGAACTGAACTCCTGGGACCCAGCTGCAGAGAGGGAGGAGTGATGAGCAAAGGGGTTACGACTTGGCAGGTGAAACCCACAGAAACAGCTGACCTGAACAAGGGGGGAGTTCATAGACCCCAGACTGATAGCTGAGAGGCCAGCATGGGAGTGATCCAGACCTCCTGAACATGGGTGTCAGTGAGGAGGTCTCAGCATCCTTTGGGGCCTCAGGCAATATATCAGCATTTAGCCCTGTCATCCAGATGGACTTTGGGAGCCCATTCCACACGTAGGGATGCTGTCTCCGCCTGGAGTAACCCTGCCCCAGATCATATGACAGACTTTTGAGATCCCCCAGGAAGGGCCTCACCCTCCTTGGAGAGTGGAGTGGGGATTGGAGAAGGGGTTGGGGGAAGGTTGAAGGGGGGTGGGAGAGGAGGGGAGGGAGAGGGAGCTGGGTTTGACATGTGAAGCAAACTTGTTTCTAATTTAAATTAAATAAAAAATTTAAAAAAAAGAAGTGGGGGATGAGCTGTAAGATACTCTCCTAATCCTGGCTCAACTAGATGATGGGACAGACTTAGTAGACTTCCTAATGGAGACCTTGTCTTCTCCGTGGAGCAGATGGGAGGAGGGGGGGATGGGGGAGTGGGAGCGTAGGAGGGAGGGAAGCTGGGATTGGAATGTAAAAAATAAATTAATAATAAAAAGACAATCTCCTAAGAGTCTACTCACCACTTCCCCCCTGACCCTCAGGTGCATGTGATCTTGGGAGACACACAAGCTCCTGGAAGATGTGAGGATAAATGAAGATGGGACTCATTTTGATGCTTCCATGAGGGCATCGAACAAGGGGGACTTGGCAGTGATGGAAATGTTGGCAGGGGCACCCTCATTCCTGTAAGCGACCCCTCACCCATATTCCTCGAGTAAGCCCAATAAACTCATTGTTTCACCAAATTATACTTGGACAGAATTGTTTCTTTGGGCTGCCATTGATGCCCTGTTTAGGGTAAATAGATAGTTATTTGTCTGCCCAGGAAAAGTAACACAACTACAAAACTTAAATGAATAGGTGCCTGGGTTCCTCAGAAACTTTACAAAACCAGGTTAGAATGGACTTCAGGGTTGTAGTTTATTGGCCCATGACTTAGGATCAACGTTCCTAAATTGTGGGTATGACCCCACATGGAGTTACTTAACAAAGTGTGGGGATAATAAAACATTTGGCAATAGTAAAAGATTTCTGAATTTGTAGTGACCAAAAAAAATTCAGAATCATAATTGTAGTGAATGTGAGGTGTTTCAGGCCTTGCTTGCCTGTGTTGTATTGTGTGACTTCACTCCAGGCTTTGTCCTAAACACACGACAGCTTCACTTGGTATTGTCCCTGTCCTCATGTCATGGAAATCAAGAGACACACCTCTGCTCAGATCCAAGATGACCGTTCTTAGAGAGACATCACGTTACAGAAATGAATTGTAGATGTTTTCCTGCTGTTATTCCTTGGTATGTGAGTATCAAATTAATATATCTCTGGATTTATTGTGTTAGAATGCTTGCTTTTAAAAACAACTCTTTTGAAGTTGCCAATTGGGCTCCATAAACATTCATTAAATTAAGTTTTGGCTTGATATCAAGACAGAACTTCCAACAATCTCTGAAAAGGCCCTAGATATGCCTTTGCCATTTTGAGCTATGTATTTATGTGAAGAAGTGTTCTCCGCACTGATGATTACAAAATCAAAATATTGATCTGCTCTGAAAGATGTTGAAGGTGCTTTGCGTTCAGTGGTATGAGATATTCAGTCAAGGTTTAGCTCTGGATATAAAAATAAACACATTCACCTCATTAACAATGCAGATTTGGGCTCAACTTTAGTAAAAGGCAAAGTTACATGCGTGTCATCAGTGAATTGTTTCAAGATAAACTTCTTTATGATGCATTGTCAGTATATGTTTGACTTGTATACATGTATCATACATCTGTAGACCTAGAGTTACACAAACATTTCTCAGGTGAAAAGGTTTAAGAAGCCCTGAAGTGACAGTCCATATCACAAAGAGAGGCCGTTTCCTTGTCTTTCTGCTTGTAGAGACTTGTGGTCTCCAGCCTCCTTCTTCAAAGTCAGAAGCAACACATCTCTGAGAACTGAGTTAACAAGGAGTTATACATAAAAGGATTGAGACCAGAGCCTTACTGTCCTTGGGTGGACAACAGCATAGTGTGTGTGTGTGAGGTGAGTGTGTGTGTGCGTGTGAGTGTGTGTGTGAGGTGTGAGTGTGTGTGTGCGTGTGAGTGTGTGTGTGAGGTGTGAGTGTGTGTGTCTGTGTGTGTGAGTGTGTGTGTGAGGTGTGTGTGAGTGTGTGTGTGTGAGGTGTGTGTGAGTGTGTGTGTGAGGTGTGTGTGTGAGTGTGTGTGTGAGGTGTGTGTCTGTGTGTGTGAGTGTGTGTGTGAGGTGTGTGTGTGAGTGTGTGTGTGTGAGTGTGTGTGTGTGAGGTGTGTGTGTGAGGTGTGTGTGTGTGAGGTGTGTGTGATTGTGTGTGTGTGAGGTGTGTGTGAGTGTGTGTGTGTCTGTGTGTGTCTGTGTGTGTGAGTGTGTGTGTGAGTGTGTGTGAGTGTGTGTGTGAGTGTGTGTGTGTGAGTGTGTGTGTGTGTGTGTGTGTGTGAGTGTTGAGCCCGGTGAGAGAGTCAAGCTGCAGAAGTCGTAGGTGCTCAGTCAGCAGGGGTTGGGAGAGTTTGGGTTTTGTTTTGAGGGCAGTAACAAGTCACTAAAGCAGGTGAGCGACGTAATCAAAATTTTTTACAGAATTACTCCGCTTAAATGGGAAAGAGTGGACCGGAGGCAGCGAGGCTGTGAAGAAACAGTAGACCCGGGAGCTCCAGACAGGAAACCTAGGAAAGACAGAACTGTGGTGCACAGTGGTCCCTGCCCCCCCCGCCAAGGATGTCCTTGTTTATCTGCTTAATTTCTGTTTCTTTTTTATCTGATTGACTTCTACTTTATACATCTGTGATTGTAGCAAATGAGCAAACCTGCTTTCTGTCCCCTTCCTTGTCCATGCACACCAGCAACACCTTTGCTCCTAAAACTCTTCATATGCTGGCCTTCCTCCTTGTCCTTCCTCTTCCCTTCCCTCCCCTCTCCTCCCTCTTCCCCTTCTCTTCCCTTTCCATCTCTTCCCTTCCATTTTCTTCTTTTCTATCCATCTCTTCCTCCTTTCCTGTTTTTTTCCTTTTTGATAAATCATTAGACAGGAAATGACTAGTTCAAACGTATAGGGATTTTGAAAACTTTTGACACACACATTGTTTCTATTACATTTTCACTGACACAATGAAACTGCCTTCAAAGCTTAACCCTGGGTTGGGGATACAGTTCAGTGGTGGAACATTCTTGAGACCCACAAAAGAATCTTTTAAATAATGAATTCGGGGGCTGGCAGGAAGACTCAGTGGTTAAGAGCACAGACTAGTCTTTCAGAGTACCTGAGTTTGGTTCCTAGCACCTACAAAGGGTGGCTCAGAACCACACATGACTCTAGTTTTAAGGGGTCTAACACCTCTGGCCTCCAAAAGCACCTGCATTCACACACACACAGAGGCGCGCGCACACACAGAGGCACGCGCACACACAGAGACGCGCGCGCACACACATACACACACTTACACACACAGTCACACACAAACTTACACACATGCATACCCAGGGCATACAGACATGTACGCATGCACTAAAAACAAATATTTAAAATAATAAATTTGGATGATTTAACTTATTTTGAGGAATACCCAAGATAGATCTACAAACTGACATGCTAAGCGCTTAATAAATTCTGATTCAACTTAGGTTCCCCAGTACATAGATTGTATTTAGTGTTCATAGTTCCCATTGCCTTGAAAAGGTTTATTGTTTGCTTCTCCAGTGAAATCCAACAGTTTGAGTGTTCCAACCACACTTCACAAAAAAACATGCGGAACTATTTGCCTGCAACGTATCCCTGGCTTTGTGTGGCTGTCTCACTCTGATGTGGGAAATGTTGATGGTGGTTTCATTTCTATTACTTACCCTTCCCTCTTTTGCTTAAAGAAAGCAAAACTGCTGAACACTCAATCCTCAAGTAACAAAATACGGAGTTTGTCTTTTCCTGCTGTAAGGTGAAACACACAAGTGTTATGGAAGAAAAGATTAGCAGACCCCTGCCTGCAGGGCAGACATGTCCTCTTCATGTGAGTACAGGGTAGACATGTCCTCCTCATGTGAGTACAGGCTAGACATGTCCTCCTCATGTGAGTACAGGGTAGACATGTCCTCCTCATGTAAGTACAGGGCAGACATGTCCTCCTCATGTGAGTACAGGGTAGACATGTCCTCCTCATGTAAGTACAGGGCAGACATGTCCTCCTCATGTGAGTACAGGGTAGACATGTCCTCCTCATGTGAGTGCTGGGTAGACATGTCCTCCTCATGTCAGTGCAGGGTAGACATGTCCTCCTCATGTCAGTGCAGGGTAGACATGTCCTCCTCATGTCAGTGCAGGGTAGACATGTCCTCCTCATGTCAGTGCAGGATAGACATGTCCTCCTCATGTGAGTACAGGGTGCTCTCACAACCCAGTGATGAACTTCTTTGAAAAGCTTTATTTTTCCCCTCTGACTCTAATTATGAAATTGGAAATGTAGGCTCATAAGAGGTGGGGGGGGGGGAGTCTATGATAGACTTCAACTGAAAACATTTGACAAAGGAGTAATTTAAGACTGGTCCAATAGTGGACATGGACTATTTGTAGAATTATAAATGACTCATAACACTGAAAGTTCTGCTTTTATAATAAAGAAATGCCAATGGAAATGAGAAATCATTTCCACCTATCAAATTGGCAAAAGTAAAGATATTCTTCAGTGTTGGTAAGGGTACAGTGAGGTACATTTGCAGACTTGGCTGTTTGGAATATAAATTGGCATAAGCATTACAGAAATCAATTTAGCAATATGTATTAAGAACTGAAAAAGAGCTCACATCCTTTATGACTCAGTAATTTCTCTTTTATAAGTCTATTATAAAGTAAATTATTCAGAAATTGAATGCCCAAGGATGTTCCGTGCATTGTTATTTATAACATCAGAATAGGAAACAGAGTCCAAATATCAGACAAGAAGAAAGCAGTTGAATACATTTCAGGGTAGATGGCATTGAGGCTATGGCTCAAGCCCAGCACCACCCCGAGCGTAAGAATCTGCCTTTAGACACACTCAGGCGACTCCTCTTGGGGGAGTGCAGGAGCCAGCAGTCTCATCTTGGGGAGTTGTGCTTTCTAACACACACACACACACAGACACACACACACACAAATATCAAATGGGACACACGAATCATCAGAGGATGGAGTCTAGTCATCTGTAGTTTTAGAAAGGCCACAGGTCACTCTGATTTACAACCAAATTCCAGAACAATGCGTGTGTGATATGAAGTGGTCACTATGTCAGCCTCTCTGTCTACACTTCTCACAGCACCTTATAACGTGTGTCTTCCACGGTCATACATGCCCACCCACCCCCCACCCTGCCCCAGCATTTATAATAGGGTGATCCCCGAGAGAACATTCCTAAGAGCCAGGATGGGCTCCTTGCTGTGAGAACAGCACCTAACTTTACCTCTGTGGAGCCTTGTGAAGGGATGAGGAAGTGGGTGGCAGCTCTTGTACACCATTAGTTGCAGAGTAACACCTGTCGTGTTCTTCCAATTCACGTTTCATTGGCTTAGGAATTACCTTTTAGACATTATAATGACTATCAACAAGGATCCTGGGTAGAAATAAACACAGGCTCTACCGCAATGCTCACAATGCTCCACGGTCCTTCATCAGTCACAGTGTGATGCAATGAGCTTCTCAAGCAAGTAGCCAGGGCTCACTCACCGCTGGTAAGGATCATATGGCACTGGTTGCAACCTCTACATACGTCAGGTGACAACCTGACTGTAACCAGGCTGTGCACTGCCTGGGCTGTGCGCAGCGGCTTAGAGTGGGATGAAAAGATGACAAGAGGATGCTAATTGTCCTCCCACGTCACCTCACCTCACCGGTGCAGGGGGGGGGCGGCGTCCGCATAAGGTGGGAGAGCCGAGGGAAGGAGTGGCCCGGTGGCCACTTTCATGTGCGGAGTCCCAGCTCAGCTTATGTGTTAGAGGACTGATGCCCTCTGTGAACCTCTGCGAGCAGAACCAGAACCGTTTAATGAAGAAATGATTTTAGTGCTTCATTCCCATCTAGAGATTCATTTGCAACAGATCATCATTAGCTTTATGGTTTTAATTGTATCGAAATTCCTTTTTGTAACCTATCGCTTTATTGCATGAGTCCATTAACCTGGGTGCCATGGAGCGCAGTTTCAGACCCGTGTTTATATCTGGACTAATTACATAGACGCCATCAGGATAGGGTGAGAGATTTTTTTTCTCAGATTGCCACAGGGGAAATTATCTGAACCCCTTTCTGAACCCCAGGGTTTGGAACAACATCCAAATCGAGCCCCAAAGATGCTGGACGGTATTCTGAATGTTTTGCTTTGAAATATCTGTCACGCCATCAACAAGGAACGGGTGTGGTGATTCTCACGTTATGTGTGTTGTCCATATGCTTCCCATTTGGACGTTCTCTGGGAAGCACTGGTCTGCAGGCTCCCCAATCAAAACCAGGTGGCTAATGGTCACAAACTGGGGGACCATGAGGAGATTTGTGCCTCGCTCATTAGGGTGGAGACGAGCATCCAGGCCACTAGCTGAGGGCTCGGAGGATGGGGTTAGCCAGGAACAACCAGGCCCGGCTCCCTGAGGGAACCTCTGTTAACCGCTGGGAAGGTGGCTCAGCTGTTAACACCTGGTTGACCCAAAGCACTTCTTCCTGGAGTCTCTCTCGGGGGAGTGGCTGATGGCTCCTGCCAGCATGTTTGGTTCACACAGGGTGTTTCCCACTTGCCCTGAAGGAAGAAGTATTGAGGTTAGAATTGGGCCCTTTGTTACCTCACAGATGCTCAACAGCAGGGTGTTTATAATGCCCATCAACCAGGCTTCCGCTGCACCTGTTGGGGACCAGCTGCAGAAGGCAGGTGTATCTAGGGACTAAGAGGACTGGTGACTGTGGAGAATTCTGAGGACTGCCAGATGTATTCCACAAAACGACAGGCCAACAGCTGGGGAGACAGGAAAAATATGGATTTAATTAAGATGATGTGCAAATTTGATTATTAATTTCAAGCCCACCGTGTGAATGCTCTCAACATGTGTGCATGCACTCGTGCACACAACACACACACACACACACGCATATATAAAAATGTATATTTTAGAACAACTGAATGGAATGTGTGCATGGAATGAGGTTCACTTTCCCCCAATTCCATGCACATTAGCTTTTGTTCATCGGACCACACATTGTCCATTTTATTTCCAGTCCATTTACATTTTTTCCCAGGCAGGAAGCTAAATCTTTAGTTTATTTGTGAGAGCTTTGCAATCCCAAGAACATAGCTGCTGGTTTAAACAGCTAATGGGACTGAGGTATTCTCTGACTCCTGCTTTTCTATGGGGACTAGTTACACAATGCATTGAGGGTGGGCTGGGGCAACCTTGATGCTTGCTTGTACTCTGAACTGTAGACTCTCACAAGACTCCACCCATCCCTGAGTTTCTTACTTGCCCTTTCTGCGGGAATTGAGAGAGACAGTTTCAGCGGGGGGTGGATCTCGTTTTTGCTGAATTTCATCTAGAGCCCTTAGGATGTATATGGAGGTTGAGGAGGGTTTGCAACGATGGGCTTTGGATTGCTACATTTCAGAATTTTATCGCTGAGCAAGTCTGGTGATGGGAGTCACTGCCTACCACGCAAAGAGCAAGGGCTGAGTCTACCTTGTACGTAGGAAACAATATCCTCATTGAGCAGCACCCAGTGTCAATTCACCTTAAAACTTGCTAAAGAGCTAACTCTAGCTACACGATTGGGTGTCAGAGCTGACTATAGAATCTGAGATCTAAGATCTGGCATGTTACAGTCACCTTGCAGAGCCAAATTCTTAATATTCTTTTAGGACATTAGGTCTCACCCAAGGCTAGCTAATTTACAAAGGTGCTTGTAATCCTAGGGAACGAAATGGGATATTGGGCCTCTGTGGGGAAGCCACCCCCGCCCCCATGCTGGTCTGGAATGCTAGCCTCCTGCACTCTCAATTGTCCTCATGTATCAGTGCAGAATGATGTTACCATAAGTGTAGTCACTTAAAAAAAAGCCCACCAACAACAAAACAGTTTCTCGATTAGAGCAACTCTCAGACCTCATCGGAGAGGTTTCTTTGTTCAGTGGACAGTGGTTAACACACAAACAACTATTGGTCAAATTGCAAAGGCCGGGTGTCTGTGGAGTGCAGCCGCAAACGAGGATCCATTCCATTCCCCTTACTCCACGCTCAGGGACCATCTTGGGAGAGGCAGCATACAGACTGGGAGAGACAGGGTTCAGGGAGGACCACGGTATGACATCTGGACATGCCAGGACCTCTGCATTCACAAACTCACAGCAGCGGTGATTGCCCACACACAGCCTACACAGGCAAGCAAACATTTCACTCCCCCTCCTCCTCCTGATGGCTCCTGGCCCCTGGCCATTAAAGTGTGGCCCCTGGTAGGATGGTCACGGCCAGTGGATGACCCCCCACAGCTGTAACCGTATGGGCAGCATAAATTGGGCTTAGAAGAAGTAGAGAACTCAATGGAGATGGGGTCACGTGGGTGAGAAGTAGATCTGACAGAGAGGAGTTGGGTGTGATAAGACGGGTGAATATGATCCAACGATATCGTGTGAGACTCTCTAAGAATTAATAAAAATGTTATGTAAGAAAGAAGTGGAAAAATAATATCAAACGCAACAGTAGCAACCACTATAAAGCAACAACACTCAAACCAAAGCCACTGCTCACTGTTTCTGTGGGCCAAGGTCCTAGACGATTCTTATCCAGGGTTTCTGAATGTTCTGTTTGTGGCTGTGGTCTCATCCGAGGCCTACCTGGATGTGCTGATCAACTTTGATTGTCGAGTTGTATGGATTAAGAAACAGCCAAGGGGATGGTGAAGAGTACTACTTGGTGTCTTTGAGGATGTTTCCACAGACAACTAGCTCTCAGTGACTTACATCTTTTTTTTTTTGTTTTTGTTTTTGTTTTTTTGTTTTTTTTTTTACGAGACAGGGTTTCTCTGTATTGTTTCAGAGGCTATCGGTCCAGCCCGGCCTTGAACTCACAGAGATCCTCCTGCCTCTGCCTCCCGAGTGCTGGGATTAAAGGCGTGCGCTACCACACCTGGCGACTTACATCTTATTATTGGACTAACCAACCTCAGCCTAGATTCATAATCTGAGGCATGTTTTGGGTGGTGGTGAAATGTAGGTGGAATGGCCTAATGGCAGGAGTAGGCAGGCCATTGGAGGAAGGTCCCCAGGGACTGTGTCTGCCACTCCTCATCTCTGCTCCCCCTTTCCTCTGCCTGGTGGTGGCTGTGTTCCCACTCTATCACACTGCCCCAGCCAGGGTGGACTGAACCTTTGAAGGTATGAGCCTGAAGCCAGCCTTTGCTTCCTCAAGTTGCTCCTGTCGGATACTTTGTCACAATGAGGAGGAAATTCAGTAACAAAATGTGGAGAGATCTGCTTCCTTTAACGTTGGCAGAATTCCTCTGCCTCTTTTCTTCCTTGCCTCTAGCTAGAGGCCCCTGCAGGCTCCTAGGGATCCCGGTTTCTTGCTACATGTCCCTCTTATAACACCACATCTCATCTTACTGATAAGGTAAAATCTTAATTATTTTTTTCCAGCAGTGTCGCATGTGGCCTCAGTAAAGTCTTCCCCCTCCCAGATGTATGTATTTTATATTCTGAGTGTTTTGCATGCATGTATGTATTCAAAACTCATGCATGACTCGTGACCACAGAGGCTAGAAGAGGGCATTGGGTCCTCTGGAACTGGAGTTACAGATGGTTGTAAGCTGCCGTGTAGGTGCTGGGATCCAAACCTGGGTCCTCTTCAAGAGCAACCAGTGCTCTTAACCTCTGAGCAGCCTCTTCAGCTACCTATGCTAAAGTCTCATGAGCAGAATATAGTGCCATCCTGAGAGTAGCTCCCAAACTCAGAGTGTAACCAGATGAGGCAGTGACAGCTAACCGCTTAGAACATCTGTTGGTTAGAAGCCTGTAATGCCAAACTGCAGCTGAGACCACTGAAGGACATGACACACCGGGTGCCGCTTTGGAGTACGCTGGTCATATTCAGCAAGTGTACAGCAGGCCCCAGGAGCTCTGGTGGTGCCGCCATGCACTGATGTAGTTAAGGCTACTTGAGATACACATCCAGGAAGATCACTTTCCTTCTCAGCTTTAGTCCATAGGGACCACTGCCCTACAGATGTGCTCTGTCTCTGAGTCATTGGCTTCTACTCCGGCTGTGCTCCCAGCCTGGGTGCTTCATCAGACTGAAAGGCTCAGCTAGACAGCCTGGCTTTCCTCAGACCCTTCTGGATCCCTTCATCACCATGAATGGCAGGGGAAGTATTTGGCTGTACCGTCCCTAGAGCAAGTATTTGGTTCCAAATTGTATGTAGCACAATTTATTTCTATAAATATCGACCTACTTTCAAGAAAGGAGCCATGTCTCATGTGTTGTCCTTTTCAATTTTTTTTTGCTGTAACTGTTCATTTTCACATGAGAAGTAATAATAAATGTTGATTGAATGAAGTGCCCCCCCAAATAATTCACTGGACTTTTACATGTCTCTTTTTCCAGGAATGCTGGTCATACATAGTCCATCCCTATAGAAGTTTCAGGGCGTGCCTTCAGTGTGGGGTCAGAAGTCTTGTCGAAGGAGTCCCCTTCTTGCCCCTGTGTTCCTAGTGAACACAGAAGCACCCCAGTGGGAGCTGCCCGAGCACTTGCTGCTTCAGTTTGACGAGCTCCAGAGCCGACCCTCTGAACCGTCCCATCTGACAGTCCTGCTTCTGAGGAGGCTGTGTGCCACTTGCCTGGGACCTCCTCCCTGCCACTATGACGCCGGGGACAGAACTCCCCGACGAAGCTGACTCCTCATCTTGATGGCACAGCACCGAGCCTGGAGGCAGACCGGCTTCCCAGCCTTCCACAGGGGTTTCTGGTGGAGCCTGCCATCCCTGCAGCAGGGTTACGTGCATTTTGTTCAATGTGAGGTTGCATTTTATTCTCTCTAATTACCAACTCAATGATAGAAGTGGTTTGGCTTCTGTTTGTGCGGCTCCGTGTAAGATAATAAAACAGCTCTATCTATCACATTCCAATTTAAATAGCTACCGTTTGGTGTGTGTGTGTGTGTGTGTTGGGGTGTTGTTAAACACCACATCAATAAAGCATAACCCAACTGCTTTTCCTGATGACTTGCTCCATTTCTGTCCTCTTTCCCCGAGGCTAATTACCTTTTGAAGGAAGGAGGGTGGGGGAAGTTAAGGAAAGGGAGACTCAGGTAAACAACAAGAAATATCCCTGACACTGGGCTCTGCAAACGGGCCTGATATCAGTTTCTTGTGCTTAATATGATAGCAAAATGAGCCAGACACACAAGACTGGGGGAGAATCCATGGTGGTAGCAGAATGGCCCTTTAAGGATGTCTACTTACTGCTTATTGCGGGGAGGGTGGCTGTCTGTCCGGCAGTTGTTTTCCCTCCCTGCCCCTGTGGCTCCTTCCTGAATCTTCCATGAATAAAAGAAACACTCTCAATCATTGATCCTACAATGGCATCAGGCAGGTTTGGGTTTTCTAGTTCATGCATTGAGCTATGCTTCCATGAGGGTCTTTCTTGAGAGATGGATTCTGCACCATAATAAGGGGACAGTGATAGTAACAGCCTGATGAGCTTGGCCCCAAGAGGTGGTTTTCCCCAGGGATAGCTAAAGTTGCTGGGTCATTGGAAAACTCTTGGAGTAGGGGGGCTGCAAACCAATTCCAGGCAGCTAGGAAGCAAACCATCATCTATATCATCTATAAGAAGAAAAGGACAATGAAAACCAAAGAAGCTTGAAGCTCCTGGGATTAGGAGAGGTCAGTGTCAGCCAACAGAGGGGATTTCCTCCAGACATCTTGACTGCATGCCCAGCAGCACTGTTCAAAGCTCCTAGGACTGACCCATAGGTAACAGAACCAGAGGTTGGGAGTAAGGGGAAAGTCCAACCTTGAGTAAGTATCATCATTATTTTTCATGGTTAACTCTTATTCAGAAACATTCTCGAAGATCTCTATATTCCCAGCTCCTGGTGTGTGTGTGTGTGTGTGTGTGTGTGTGTGTGTGTGTGTGTGTTTATCAGAAGTGGTATAAAGTAGGCTAGGGACAGCTTAGTCAGGGTTTCTATTGCTGCAATAAAAGCAAACTTGGGAGGAAAGTGTTTATTTGGCTTACACTTCAGTATTGCTGTTTACTGTTGAAGGAACTCAGGACAGGAACTCAAAGAGGGTGGGGAATCCAGAGACAGAAACTGATGCGGAGACCATGGAGGGATGCTGCTTACTGGCTTGTTCCCCCTGGCTTTCCTCAGCCTGCTTTCTTACAGAACCCAGGACCAACAGTCCAGGAACAGCACCACGCCATCGCCCGTCATCACTAATTAAGAAAACGCTTTACAGCTGTATCTTATGGAGGCATTTTCTCTATTGAGGTTCCCTCCTTCAGATAACTCTAGTTTCTGCAAAGCTGACATAAGACCGGCCGGCAGAGGAATAATTGTTCAGTGGGTAAAGTACTGGCCAGGGCACTTCACAAGCATGAAGACCTAAGTTTGATGCCTAGAATTCATGTCAAAAAAAGCCAGACACAGTGGCTCCCTGCGTGTGATTCCAGCAGAGACGGAGACAGGCAGGTTCTTGAAATCTGTTGGCCAACCAGACTCGTCTTCTTGGTGACCTTCAGTCCAGGAAGAAATCCCGTCTCAAAACACAAGGTAGGTAGTACCTAAGGAAGCTGACCTCTGACTTCCACACTCGATTGCACAGGTGCATGAAGTCACCCCTCACCCCACATGTAGGCACACACATGTGAAGCAGCATGAGGGTCTGTGCATGTAGCTTGGTGTAGAGCTCTTGCCTGGCACGTGAGAAGCTGTGGATTCTGTCTCAGGCCCTGCCAGAGTACAGCAAAAGATCAACCTTGACGTGATGTGGGCACTGGTGTCGCAGAGAGGGCCTCAGGACGGGACAGACCAAGAACAGGTTTCTGACATGTGTGCGTCATTCTCCTCGTGCTCAGTCACCCTTCAGCAGCCTCCAAGCCTTCTGAACACCGAGAACCGCTTCTATGTTCACCATCTACGCTGTGGCTGCAGAAGCCTGCAGGCTGTGGGAAGAATGTCCCAGCACACCTGGGAGGTTACAGGGCAGCTGTTAATAGCCTTGGAGGCTATATAAGTGCTGTCAGCCCCTCAGCACTGTTATCATTACACCCCCCCCCCCGGTGGGCTAAATTCTGCACTGGCCTGGTCTTTCGTACCTTCTCGCCTGCCTTCTGTAGAGCCAGCTTGCTTTCTTCTAGTATGAGTGGGGATTTCCTTTTGAGGTAGGGTCTCACCATACACACATAGCCTGATCTACTTTCAAACATGAGATCCTCCTGCCTCAGCCTTTTTGAGGGCTGGCATTGCAGGTGTACTACCATATCTGGCGTGGAGATCTTTTTCTTTTCTTTCTTTTATTTTTCTCAGAACAAACACTTTGAGACCCACAATATTGGGGTATTGAAACTACGTGGCCTATCAGTGGCAGATTTCTTACACTGACAGACTATGATTCTGAAAATAGCCCAAGGGCAGTGGTTAAGCTCATGTGAGTTTGCCAACCAGGATGTGTGGCAATGTCTGGAGACTTTCCTTTTTTTTTCTTTTTTTGAGACTGGATCTCACTGTGTAGCCCTGGCTGTCCTGGAACTCACTCTGTAGACCAGGCTGGCCTCCAACTCACAGAGATTTGCCTGCCTCAGCCTCTGTCTCTCAACTGCTGAGGTCAAAGGCGTGTGACACCACCACCAGGCATCTGTAGACATTTTGGTTGCTTCCCACTGGGGGAAATCTTTCTGGCATCTCTTACAGGGCATGGATGCAGCTAGACATGTGGGATAGACCCACATTCCTTTTTAATACAAGGCTGCCATAACAGTTAGTGCTATGAGAAATTACCACAAATTCAATGGCTTATAGAAATACGGATTTATTTCTTACATTTATTTGGTCAGAGTGCATATGCAGTTAAATCCAGGATGTCATTATGCTGCCTTTTTTTGGAGATATGCAGTAGAATCCATTCTTTTGGCCTTTCCAGCTTCCGTAAATTGCCGGTATTCCATGGCTTGTGGTCTCTTACCCTATATTCAAAGCTAGAGGCACCAGGCCAAGTCCCCTCACATTATGAAACTCCACAGTCCCTCCCATCATTGTGCCTCTTTCATCTTCGTTTCTCAGGGCCCTTGGATGTCACTGGGTCACCCAGGTTCTGAAAGAGACTCTTTGTTTCAAGGCTGTCTGATTAGCAATCTTAATTCCGTCTGCAAACCTGAATTGACTTTGACCATGTAGTGTGACATGTCTACAGGTCCTAGGAGTTCAGGTCTGGGTATCAATTAATGTCTGTAGAGTTGTCGTTGTGCCTGCTACCATCCCATAAAAAAATCCACTAACAATAAATGCCGGTGGTACCGAGCCTGAGAAAGCACGGCCCAGAGAAAGCTCGCTAGTTCTAGAAGGTGAGAACTCCCTTCCGTGGGGATAAAAGAAAGACAAGCCACCCTTAAAGGGGCTCACGTGGCGTGCTAAGACCCCAGCACATTTAGTCCGGTGGGCAGTTTGCCTCAGGAGCTGCTGCTGAGAAGGACTGCAGGCTCACTTCTGGCCACGTGACACGGGTCTGCGCGCCGAGGAGGTGGGAGCCTCCTGCGAAGTAAATGAATAAATGAAGCCTCAGCTTCTGGTAATACAGGAAACAGAGTATTCATTTTCTCTTCGGTGGGAATCACACATGACAACGGCAAGGCTTTCTTCCTGTTGTTTGTGGAAAACGCAACTCCACTGAGGCCCCGATGGTAAACTTGCTTCTCTTTCTCTGACGTTAGCTGCTCCAGGATGCACAGGGCCCGCTGGAGTGTGTTCTTATGGTCTCCCGCCATTTATTTACCTTGGTAGGAAACTCCAGTTACCGTCAGTGCTGCTTCTCTTTAAATGCGGCCAGCGTGCCAACTTCCGAGTGTGCAAATCCTGTGTCTGATTCTTGATGGGTCTGATGGAAGTTGAGGACTATGAGTTGTGGGAATGTGGGTGCAAATTTATTAGATACTGAAGGAAACGGGGGGGGGGGTCGGGGTAGGGGGAGGAACTCTGAGTCCTTGGAAAAGGCTCTGATTTAGGCAGAGGTGATCTGGCATGAGGCTGTAAAGTTGGTTTTTCCTGGTCTCAGATGGCAATGGCCGCATTTGCATGTATGTGCTTATTTGTGTAGACTGTCTAGTACGTCTTCTCTCAATGTTACTGGGCTGCAGGGTTGCTTTCTTGTATCTTTCAACACCTAAATCAACTCTTGGATTATCGGAAGTTGGGAATCAGGATAGAACGCATTACTTCCAATGACACTGAAGGAACGAGTCTCCAAATGGCACGCCGGGAATTCTCCAGATATATTCCAACTGTCAGATTTAGTTATTGGTTTTCTCTGGGCAATCCAACTCTATTTTATTCATGGGCTATTCTAAAAATACAATCAAAGGACACCTACTGGCTACAAGGGCCTTTGGTCGTGTCTAATGGTGCTGTGAAGAATGGTTTGAATTTAGTGCAGATGCAGGGAAATATGTGCTGTCATCAAGAGCATATCACACTTCCAACTTCTAACATGCCCTGCCTGGAGTCCAGCCAGCATAGGCATGAGGTGAGGATGATCGGACAGGGTCAGCTAAGGGAGGCATGGCGGCAGACGGTGAACTGAACAGAACGGGATGCCACTAGATTGCTTTTGGCTCAAGAAGAAGCAAAATGATTTGTTTGTTTCCCAGTTTGTGTGTCCCTGAGTTTTACCGCAGAGGCCTACTCTCGGGAAGTGCTGGAAGTCTGTGGTTCTGAGCGAGAAGTGACTACATCTTTGCTGCTGTCGCAGTGGGGGATTTTCTGGGGAAACATTCCCACTCCGGTGTAGAAACATGCTCTGGACACAGGCCTTGGGGAACGATCCTTTCCAAGGTACGAAGCATGCGTGTGCCTGCAGCAGTTAATAACCCAGAGCTCAGACATGATTGGGTTTTGATAGCCCGCTCAGTGCTTCCGGTGTATTCTGAGATGGGCTCTGTAGGCTGTGCTGTCACTCTTCTCTGCTGGGGAGGAGACAAGAACAACGTGCCTGTCTTTAGG